AGAGAGAGAGAGAGAGAGAGAGAGAGAGAGAGAGAGAGAGAGAGAGATAATAGGGTGTGTGTGCCCACAGTACATTCTTGGAGGTGTCCAAGGACCTTTACACTCTGTAAAAAGCTTAAGAGATGCTTAGCAGTGAGGAGAGCACACTGCTCATGGGAGAATCCCAGCATCCACATCAGGAAGTTCACAACTGCTCATAAATCCAACTCCAGGGAGATCCAACACTCCTAGCTTCAGGGCACATCCACACAAAGACATATATCTATAAGTTTTTAAAAGTATTGAGGAATCCCAAAAGCCTTTTTGACATGCATTAGATCTCTTGTACTTATTAAGTTAGAAGTTAAAATGGATACTACAACACCTTTGTTCTGGCTAGTTTTATGTCAACTTGATCCAAGCTAGAAGACAAGGCAACCTCAGTTGAGGAATTGCCCCTACCGCATTAGCCTGTGGACAAGCCTGCGGTGCATACTCTTGGTTGATGATTGGTGTGGGAGACCTAGTTCACTGTGGGCACTGCCACCCCTAGACTGGTGGTCTTGGATGCTACCAGAAAGCAAACTAAGCAACTCAAGGTGAGCAAGCCAGTAAACAGTACTCCTCCACGGCCCCTGGATCAGTTCTTGCTCTGACTTCCCTGGATGATGAGCTACAGGCTGTAAGATGAAATAGACCTTTTTCCTCCCAAAAGCTCCTTCTGGTCATAGTGTTTTATTAGAGCAAAGAAACCTTAACCAAGACAACCAGTCAATCCCTCATTTTGTGAGCTACCAGAATAAAGGCATATGTCAGCACATGTCACGTGGGCCCTAGAAAATCTTTCCCTTGAAAGAGAAAGAGAATGAAGAGGGTAAAGGACAGTGTGGCATAGTGGTGCACACCTGTAATCTGAGCAATGTGGGTGACAGAGGCAGGAGGGCAGTGAGTTCAAGTCCTGCCTGCTCTGCACAGAAATTCCCAGAGGACGTAAATGGAACCAAACATGGTGGCTCATTTTTCTAATCCCGGTATTCGGGAGGTAAAGGTAGGCAGATGTCTGTGGTTTGAGGTCAGCCTGGTTTATATAGTCAGTTCCAGGCCGGCTGGACTATGTAGTGAAACTCTGACTCAAGACTTTACACGGTGCTGTGAACATTAAAGATGACAGCTGCTCACTGCTGAGCCCGTTCTCGGTCTGTGCTTGCCAACAGGACCAAACAGCAGCCATTCCCCTGTGTGGGACGGTGTACCACAGGGCAGTATGTGGGACCCTGAACAGCTAGACCTACTGTTGGACCAAGAGTTCTCAGAGTTGTCATGACCTTGCTGTGGAATCTTGGGAAATGTGCCCTGACCCAGCTGTTCTGCTGCAGATGGACTCCAGAGGTCCCCTAGGAGCTGCACGGAAGCAGGAAGTGGAGTCTGAACAACCCTGTCCTCACTCAGTTGTTTGACCTGTTTTTACATAGAGTCTGACCTCTATCCTCCGGTTTCATCTCTGCCAACTCAACCAACCACAAGTTAAAGGTGCTCATGACTCTAGGGTCATAGTTTAGTGGTAGGTGAGCGTCTAGCACACTTGAGGCCCTGGGTTTTATCCTCAGCACCATCAAAAATTTGCATTTGTACCAAATGTACACTGAATCTCCCTTCTCATCATTATTCCTTAATATAACAGCTGATAACACTTACACTGCATTAGTTTTTAGAAGAATCTAGAAATAGGTTAAAGTGGAAGGGGGTGGGGACAGAGCACTTGTCCAGTTTACAAGAGGCACTGTGTTCATTCCCAGTGACACAAGCGATCAGTGTAACGGAGGGTAGATCTAAGTCACCCACAAGTTCTATGCCATCTTTGTGAGGGACTTGAGCATCCTGTGGTTTTGGTGTCATAGGGTGAATTTAGAATCAACCCCACTCCCAGATACCGAGAGACAAATAATACAAAGGACCTACGCACACAAAGCCGTTTCTTTTCAACAACCACCCAACCCTTTGCTGTTCGAGGGCTTACAAGCATGTTTGAAGGCTGAATTTAAAACCTGTTCTAGGGGGCTCAGAGGTTAAGAGCATTTGCTGCTCTTGCAGAGGACAGAGTTCTGTTCCCAGAACACACATGGTGGCTTTACAACCACCTGTAACAATTCCAAAGGATCCGATGTCCTCTTTTGGCCCCCTGAAGTATCAGGCACACCATGTGGTCCACACGCATGCAAGTAAAATCTCAGAGACATAAAAATAAAAACAAAATAAAATATAAAGATTCATTTTATAAAAGAAAAATAAGTTTAAAAAACCTGCACCGGGAGCCAGCAAAACAGCCCAGAAGGTGAAGGTGTGTCACTAAAACTCTTCCCCAGGTAGGTATAAACGCATACCCTTGCCCCTCCTAAGGTCCCAACCAACAAACTCAGGCACTGTTCCACAATAGTCATCCTAGGAACCAATGAGTTTAAGGGCCTTCCTTCCAGAGCATAGCTGAGGGTTACCTACAGAAATGTGGGTGCTCCTCCCAAAAACAAGGCTGCAAGCAAAGTCTAACCTAGCAGGGATGTTGACTTTCCCACGGTTACACACACAGAGCATCACCTGTCTCAGACTTTCCCAGCCTATGTAGTCCAGCCTCTGATACCACGTGCAACTGTGGCACAGTCATATGCAACAGCTGGTATGGCACAGCTGGGCACTCAGGTGAGGGTCCCCGGCCCTCCCCGCCCCTCTGTGAGGGTCCCCGGCCCTCCCCGACCCTCTATGAGGGCGTGTCAACAGTCAAGTTCAGCTGGAAAGCTTTTTCGAAAAGCTCTTTTTGGGCTCAGCTGGACTTCTGAAGATGGAGCCTGTTTGGCTCAGGGTATAACCATTGTAAAGGTACCTGCTGCCAAGCCTAATAACTTGCCTTAACTCCTGGGACCACACAGAGGAGAGAGAGAACAGACTCCTGCAAGCTGTCTTCTGACCTCCACAAGTGAGCCACACACAGCCATGTCATGTCCATGCCTACATATACACACACTCTCACATACAAACACACAAAATGAACAATGGATTTAAGAATAAAAATCTAGGTGCTGAAGAAGCGGCTCGGTGGTTAAGAACTTGGTGCATTAACCGTTAGGGAGAAACGTTGGGCTGAGGAAAAAGCATTCCTTGCTTACAGTGGGTCCAGGTTCAGTTCTTAGCACTCACACGGTGAAATGGCTTTCATTTGGGAGGCAGAGGTAGGTGGATCTCTGTGCATTTGAGGCCAGCTTGATCTACATAAAACATACCAGGGCATCCAGGGCGACATAGACAGACCATGTCTCAAAAGATAAAATAAAATAAGAAGCCAGGTATAAAGTCTTTGGATATAGCTCCACTGGGTACAGAGCTGAAGATGTCAGTAACTGGAAGGCATCTAAGCAGGGTGCTACTTTAATTGTGACACTCCCTTGCCTTGGTTCAACCCCCAGCTTCTATAATCTGGGTGTGGTGCTGCACACCTGTACTCTTAACACTCAACAGAATCCAACAGCCAGATCTTGAGTATGAGGCCAGCGCTAGTGACATACCATTTTAGGAGAAAAAGGAGGAGCAAAAGGAGCAGGGAGGAAAAAGGGAAGGGGGCGGCTGCAGTGGCAGCTGAGCAGTGGCTGCTTGCATGAAGTTCATAAAGGTCTTTAAATTACTGTAAGATTTCACTTGAACAACAACGGTCTATTTCCAAAAGTACTTTCGACTTTGAAAACGAGGCTAACGGAACTGAACCAGAATGTCCCTTCCAGAGTTGCAGATCATGACGTTCCAAGTTATTTGTTCTTTATAAGTTTGAAGGCCTGAAGATGGGAATGACACCAGGACCCAAAGACCAAAGACACTCAAATGCGCCCATGTGGCCCAGCTCTAGGCAGAGGTGGAGCTAGGTAAGTGTAGTATGTCAAATCTGGTCTTAGCTGCATAGCAACTGAGAAACCTCTGACCTCTGTGACTGTGTCCTCTTCTGTGAGGTGGAGCAAACCTCAGGGGGCTCCATCAGGCCCCCCTGTAGGCATTCACTCAAAATGTGCCCCCAATAGCAGCATTCCCAAGGTGTGACCCTGTCCTCCTCTGCTAAGGCCACAAAAGTCCATATCCCAGTATCCTCCAGTCTCACTGATCTTAGATCTGCGTCAGTTCAAGTCTGGAACTTGGATGGAAGAGCAGGTAGGGCAAGGTGGTCTCTTCAGTTGATACAGGGTTTCAGAGAAAGCAGACCTGTGACCAACCGATCCCAGTTGGCCAGGCAATGAGGAATGGTCAAGCAGGTACTCCCCTTTTTGGGCGGGACTGAAGTGTGAAGCTGCCTGCTCTGGTCTCAGGAGCCTAGGGAAGTGCTGACTGGGGATGTAGGGTGGGGTTAAGCCAGGTGTGACAGCAAACAACTGTACCTAGGTATGAGCACCCTGGTGTTTTCTGGCCTAAGCACAGATCCGTTGTTTAGAAAGAGTTGAGGACTTCCTCACCCCTCCCACAACCAGTCACTCTGAATGTATGCAGCATGTAAGAGCATGGACATGAACTTCGGTGTCCATGGGCAAATAAATCATGCCCTGAACTCTGGCTGCTAAGATCCCACCCAACCACTGAGCACAAAAGATTTCTGAGGCAAGACCCAGAGCTGCAGTTCTGACTGGTGTCTCCCACTGTTCAGGGAACTGTCCACAGACACATCTTAGGGACAAGTTTCTTACCACATGAAAGTTTTATTGAACTCAAAGGGCTCCAAAGCCTGAGGAAGACAAGGTAGACTGGGGTTTGCTCTGAGAGGCCCAGGCCCTACCCCTTGGGCCCTACTCCCCACCTACCTACCCTTTGCCCTCTTCCTGGTTTCACAAGGGTCTCAGCAGCTACCAATCTATGCTACCCTACTCTAATTCAGTGACACTCCCTTGCCCTCCCCCCTCCCCATCTAGTACTTTGCCAGGACAGGCCTCCAGCTAAGGAGACACTACTGCACAGGCAAGCAGCGTGGAATCTCTCCTGGGGCTTCCTGTTGCCTGTCTGGCCTCCCTTCAACCCCTCTTCGCAGCCCACTTCTCAAACTTCTCGAGGGCATATAACTTCCTGCACCCTGACCCGTCTTCTAGAATATTCCACCCTTCTATTCTCCAACTTTTCCATTATCCTCTCAAGCAGTTTCTCTAGTTCCCTGACCCTTTCTCTTCTGCCCATCACCTCCCCACCCTTGACTGGTCAACGCCGGCCAGCTGCGTGGGTCCGCTGATGGCGGATGAGGTCGGAGCTCTGCGAGAAGGCCTTTCCACAGTCATCACACTTGTAGGGTCGCTCCCCACTATGCACACGATGGTGCTGCAGCAGCGTGGAGGAGCGGCAGAAGCCCTTGCCACACACAGCACAGCGGTAGGGCCTCTCGCCTGTGTGGGAGCGCTGGTGCTGAATGAGGGTGGAGGAGCGGTTGAAGGTCTTGCCGCAGTCGGGGCAGCTGTACGTGCGGCCTGGCAGATGGGTGCGGGCATGGATGGCCAAAACCGAGCTCTGGCCAAAGCGCTTGCCGCACTCCGGGCACTTGAAGGGCTTTTCCCGAGCATGGCTGCGGGCATGCGGGATAAGTGCTGAGCGTTGGGAGAAGCTCTTGCCACAGATGCCGCAGCTGAAAGGCCGCTGCCCAGTGTGCACTCTCTGATGGCTGCGCAGGGATGAGTTCTGGCTATAGCACTTGCCACACTCTGGGCAGCTGTAGGGCCGCTCGTGGCTGTGGGTGCGCTGGTGACGCAGGAGGTAGGAGCTGTCGCCGAAGGCCTTGCCACAGTGTGGGCACTTGTAGGGCTTCTGGCCAGAGTGGGTGCGCTGGTGACGAAGAAGGTAAGAACTATCGGCGAAGGCCTTGCCGCACCTGGGACACTTGTAGGGCCGCTCGCCGGTATGGGTACGCTGGTGTTTGATGAGGTCAGAGCTCTGGGAAAAGGCCTTGCTGCACACCTCACATTTGTAAGGCTTCTCGCCGGTATGGATGCGCTGGTGCTGGATCAGGGTAGAGCCTCGCCCAAAGCTCTTCCCACAGATGCCGCAGATGTTAGGTCGGGGGCCTTGCCCACCCCTGGCCCGGCCACCTCTACGGCCTGGACCACGAAGGGTCCCTGTCAGATTCAGGGGATTCTGGAGCATCTCAAACTGGGGTGTGGCCAGCAGGGCCCCTGCAGGCATATCAAATGGTGCTCCTAGAGGCAGTGCCCCTGCGGGTTGCTCCCCAAACCCCTGAGTAAAGGAGTCCAGGGGGTGCACTCCTAAGGAGATGCTCAATGGGTTCTTTTCCTCGGGGTTCAGAAGCATGTCTGCACCTTCCTGGAATTTGGAACTTTGAGTTTCAAATTCGGGGCTATGGGTTTTGAACTCAGGGTTCCGAGCTTCATCTCCAGAGTTCTGCGGTGCATACCCGGGACTCTGGGATTCATATCCAGGGCTTTTGGGTTCATACCTAGGGCTCCCGGGTACATAACCTGGACTCTTGGGATCATAGCCGGGGCTTTGCGGCTCATACCTAGGACTCTGGGATTCAAACTCGGGGCTCTGAGGATCTGATTCAGGACTTCTGGGTGCAAACTCAGGGCTTGGGGGCACAAACCCAGGGCTCCGGGATTCAAACCCTGGGCTTTCAGGCTCAAATCTGGGGCTTTGGGACTCAAACTCAGGGCTTTGGGGTTCGAGTCCAAAAGGTATTTCTTCAACTTCATAGTCCCCACGGTCTTCTTGCTGAGCAATTGCCCCTTCGTTTTCATTTGTGTTGCCTGTGGGATCAGAGAATTATAGAAAATACAGATTGATTGGTGGGTCTGGAAGGTCATTTGGTCCATTAGTGCCACACACTTCTCTTCCCCACTCTCCAAGCGGGGTCGCTGGCCCTAAATCAAGGTGCTGAAATTTACCACCTCCCCTCCAAAAACCCGGGACACCAAGTCTCCACCCCCAACCCCACTCCCAAGTGTCTGTGCATCCGGCCTTATTTTCCTCCCACAGGCCACAGCCCTGTTTCCTGGCACACTCCTAAGAGGCGCGGTCCTTCCCTCACCTTTGAGAGACCCATCGGGGCTGCCCGTTTCGTCAGGACTGTGCACATCCCCAGTCTCGAGGCCCCACGTCGACGCCTCCCGCTCCATCCCTGCCAGCTCCCAGTGCAGCGGCCGTGGCGATGGCGTACGATCCTGCAACCCAGTTCGAGTGTCCGGAGCCCCGAGCCCTCACCACCCGCCGTTTCAGAGCCGCCCAGGAGACCGGGCGGCCTGGCTCGGGCCGCGAAGGCCGGACGTCTTGACCCTGGGCCTCTCCAGCCCCGCCCCTGCCCGCGGCCCCGCCCCCTCCCAAGGTCTCGGATTGTCCTGCCGCCCTCACCGGCCCTCGCGCGTCGTGGCCACGGAGGCGAAGAGGCTAGTCTACTCCTCCGGCCGTCCCCAGCCACTACTACCAACCCGAGACCCCTCGTCTTGGCCCCTCGAGCCCCAGTTGGACTACTGCTCTCCCGTCCCCTCCCCCCCACAGGAAGTGTCCGTCCCTGGCCAGTTTCCCCCGCTGGCTTGCGCCGCGGCCTCTCTAGGAGCGGCTGGAGGTGGAAACTCGTTGGCATTAACCCTGGACTGGCTCGCCCGGGCGTAGGGGTGGGGGCGACCCGACGCCCCAGAGCCGGAGGGAAGGACGACAGCAGTTTGTGTGCCTACATCGCGAGTCTCGGCCTACCCAGGGACCTGTCTGCAGATCTCTCGGACCAAGTGCCCGGCCCCTGAGTGTGGCCAAGGGCGAGGCGACAAGAGAGACCAAGGTCAGCGAGGAGGAGCGACGCTTCCTAACGCCAGCGGGGGAGGCGGCTAGCTCCTTTCCCCAGCCTCGGGGTTTACTCGGACTGGCCCCGGGAACGTGGGCGACCGCTCGTTTGACCGCGTCTCCAGGTTCTGAAGCCCAGAACCCAGCTAGCCCAACTACGGCGGTGACACCCGCGCCCACTCCCCCGCCCACGTCCTCCCCTCCCCATCCGCGCCGCGGGCTCGTTGCCAGAGAGACAGCCCTGCCTCCGCGCTGCGAGGCTCCGCCCACTCCGCCGACGATTGGCCTCTAGGGCTGGCATTCTGGCCGCCACTTCCCACCTCCTTCAATCGCGGGTCACCCAGGCTCCTGATCTGATTGAGCTGAGAGCGCTCAGGCCTTTCCAACTGCCTGAAATGCCAGCAGGAATGAGAGTAGGAGGTGCCAGGCGTCTCCCCGCCAGCTCGGTCTGTGCTTTCAAAACTTTCCCCCGCGCCAATTGTCCTGTATTATGAAGAATGGAAGCCGAGGACTCTTAGGCTAGACACTCCTCCACGTTTCCTTGTTTCCTTCTGCCCTCAGGTTACAGGTGCTGAGGGGGTCAGTCAGAGATGACCTTGATGCTCACCTTCCCAAATCCTGAGTTCTGTTTAATCCCTGGTTTCCGGATTTTCCCGCAAGCATGCAGGATATTTCCGAGGTGAGGGTGACACTGAGGAGTTCCAGAAGGGAACCCGACAGAGGAGTCAACCTTTAAGGCATCTGGCTTGCATGGAGACTTGGAAGGAAGCTATCAAGTTCAAAGGAAACTCCAGTACCCCAAACCACAAAAGGCGTCCAAAGCCCCAGAAATGAGCTCAACATGGAGGTTCTCTGGCAGCTAGATAAAACCAGCAGTCCTCAGGGACTTTCTGAAGCTGGTTCCCCTCTACCAAAAGGAGTCATTTCCCTTTCCTCTGGCAGAAGGGCTACCTGTGGCACCTATCAGCATATCAAAGCACTGTCACATTTCAGAGTCTGTGTTAACGTCCTAGCCCTTCTCATCTCCCCTGCCCTAAACTCCCTTCAGCTCACAGGCCTCTCTCCCCCAGGTGCTCATTCTCCATATAACCCTGTTATTCTAGACAATTGTTGTCCCCCCCCATTTCCCCCCTTCCACCTCTCTCTGTGTTCCTGCTTCTCTCACCGTGTTTTCTCTATTCTCTATCTCCCCCTCCCCCGCTATGGTTCCCTCACTTGCAGGTAGCCCCTGTCCAGTCTGCTGGCCATGGGCCATGTTCAGTCTTCTTTGCTCTGGACTCTTCCAGACGTCTCCAGCTGTTCTCCCTTATCTACAATAAAAAGCTTTCCCCTTAACAATAGCAGGGAGCAGTTGATACAGAAGGGAACCAGAAAACACGGCTAGGGCTAGGTGTGACTTTGAAAGCCGGAGAATGTGACCCTGGGGAGATGATATTGTCCAACCTAGCCATCCAACCTAGTCACTTTCTACTCTTCTGCCAAAAACAAGTTTGGTAGCATTCCTGACAGCTAATGAGTCAAAGTCTCCTGTTTGAACGGTACAGCAGCTGTGATTTTCTTGTTTCGTAACTAAACCAACCGGGGGAAGAAACTGGTTGAAAGGAGTCGGTATTTTTCTTTCTCCTGAGAAAAGATGGAAGCAGACATTTGGCATATGTCAAGTAGAGAGATCCCAGGGAGGGGCCATGGTGGGGAAGGACTAAAATTCCAGCGATCGGCAGGCTGAGACAGAAGGAGCCTAAGCTCCATGCCAACCTAAGTGGGGGAGGGCTGTAGAAAAAAATCATGCTAGGGGCTAGAGAAATGGCTCAGCAGTTAAGAGCACTGACTGCTCTTCCAGAGGACCCGGGTTCAATTCCCAGCACCCACATGGCAGCTCACAACTGTCTGAAAATCCAGTTCCAGAGAATCTGACACCTTCACACCAATGCACATAAAATAAAGAAGTCATAAAAAAATTTTAAAAAAATCATGCTAACAGAAGCTTGTGGACATAACCACAAAGATCTTTATGTCCCACCCTGCTTCTCTCCTATAGCAACATTCTGCCCTAAAACCTTTGCTCTGTGAATCATCACTAGGGAGCACCCACACAGAACATACTAGAAAGTGCCCTGATGCACTTTAGAGTTGGGCATGGGGCACCTACATAACGGTTATTCCCAGAGCACTCACAGGTAAGAAACACACCTGTACAGTATGACCTCCAACTTGCTTCTCCATCAGAAGATTCATAGAGACAGCAATGGTGTCCTGCAAAGCACAGCATAGAGTCCTCAGGCCGATGTTCTGAAACCATCTACTGCTTGCACTCATGGGCCAGATCTTCAGCTGTCTAGCAACGTTTCCACCTCCCTGGTACCTAGAGAGGCCAGTCTGCCCCTGCCTTGGAACCTGTCTGTACAAAGAGCACTCAACCAGGAGCCAACTTCCACGCACCATACACGCACAGCAGTAAATCTCTACTCAGGCAGTAAAGACTTCTCTCATGAGAGTCACAACTCTCTCATGAGAGTCAGCAACAACTAATCTAAGGCAAAAAAAAGAAAGGCCTGGGATGGCAAAGGTCTACTGGACTTCTTTAACCACTATGTGGTGAAGAAGGGTCCCATGCATATTCTGTGTCTAGCAAGCCCAAGGTAGCATCTCCTCTGCAGCCAACATCGGCTTTCGGTCCAACCAACTTGGGCAGCACTGCGAGGCCCATGCTGGAAAGAGGTTCTCTGTGTCCAAGGCTTCTGCAAGAAACTGTTTTTCTATACTTAAAGGAGAATCCTCTAAAGGCAGGTGTCAGGTGCTGCAGGCCTATATACACCAGCATGACTTCAGGTTCTCAGGAAAAGACCACGGCACAGAGAAAGCCCTTTGAGAAGAATGAAGGAAATGGGGAGTCTGTGTGAATTTTCCTCTCATCTGACACATTTGGGACTCACCTTGGAATCATTCCCCTTGACAAAACTAAAAGGAAATGACATTTTTTAAATGTCATACACTGATGTCATGTGTATGAATCTTTTGTCCGCATGTATGTTCGTGTACCACGTGTGCTCCTATTGTCCGTGGAGGCCCTGGGACTGTAATAACAGACAGTTGTGAGCTGCCATGTGGGTGCTGGGAACAGAACCTAGGTCCTCCGGAAGAGCAGCTCTCACCGATGAGCCACCTCTCCAGCTCTGAAAATGACAGTTTTGACTTTACATGTTTTCCTGGTTTATTTATACACTCACTTGTGGTCTTAGGGATTGGACCCAGGTTCTGCCACCTTTGACATTCATGTATGTCCTCAGACTGAAAGTGAGAGTTTCCCCCAATGTTGGGATGTAATCTAGAACTCTGTACACGCTAGGCAGGTGTTCTACCACTAGGCTATATTCCCGTCTACCAATAGGTGATATTCTCATGTACCATTTTTCTATATTCTCAGCAGAATTGATATTTTATTGAGAGAAATGGCGCTCTCAAACTTTAACAGGGATAAACTTCTATGCCTAGAGACTGATTTAAAGGCTAAAGGCAAGTCATGAATGTAGTTCAGTGGTAGATGCTTCCTTAGCATGATCAAGGCCCTGGGTTCAGTCCCCAGCATTGAAAGAAGAGTAGGAGCCAGGCAGCAGTGGCACATGCCTTTAATCCCGGCACTTGGGAGGCAGAGGCAGGTGGATCTCTGAGTTTGAAGTCACCCTGGTCTACAGAGAGAGTTCCAGGACAGCCAAGGTTATATAGGGAAACCAAAAGAAAAAGGAAGGGAGGGAGGGAGGAAGGGAGGAATTATTTTTAAGGTCTGATCTTTGGCAGACATCCTCTAGAGAAAATTAAAGTGCACAAACTTTTTATTTTTATTTTTAGATTGAGTCTCACTAGTTAGTACTGCTGGCTTGGAACTCCCTATATTGATCAGACTGACTTTCATCTTGGCTTCCTGCATGTTGGAATTAAAGGTTTTGCACACCCAACAAATCTGAAGATTCTGCTAAGTCTTTTGATTCTCAAATGTTCAGCTATAGTAGTGATCTGTTTGTCGAGGATCAATCTCTTTTATTTGTTTTTTTGGTTGTTGTTGTTATTATTATTATTATTAATTTCTTAAGGTCTCTTACCCAGATAGGCCTTGAATTCTCTATGAACTGTTGATCCTCTTGCCCCAACTGCAGGGTACTGGGATTAATGTATGTGACATCATGCCAAAATTTTATACCATGGGCTTTATGAGTACTAGACAAACACTCTATCAACTGGGTTACATACCTAGCCACTGCCTCCTCTTCTTCCTCCTCCTTTTCCTTCTCCTCCTCTTCTTCATAAGCAAGTAGAAAACACTCCAGTTGGTATCCACAGTGCATCTTCCTAGCAGATTTGCATTTTCTCTCTCCAGTTCTTGATCTAGAAGGGAATGTCCTTTAACAACAGACATACTCAGCCAAGAACCCTGCTACATGGGGAACCTTTGATACTAAGCCACTAGTTCAGACTGAACGGAACTTCTGGTCTTTGTCTGGAGCACCAGCAGCAGCTTCTGCTCATTGTCCAGGTCAATGAGTTTCTCACATCCAGTGGTTGGAAAAGGAATGTTGATGTCATCTTGATATGGCTGATGGCCTAGGAGTCCTCACTGCAAAGAGGGCAAGTGACATAAGGGAAAAAAAAAAAACACTATAGCCAGGAGGCCTTACTTTGAAAATACCACTGTTCCTTATCTGTGGGTTCTGCACTCACTGGTTCAACCAAACAGACCAAAAATATTTGAAGGGTTGAGAATGTAACTCAGAAATAAAGAATGAGTGCGTAGCATTCCCAGGGTTCTGGGTTTAATTCCCAGCACTGGGGGTAGTGGTGGTTGTTTCTGTCTGTGCTAAACATACCATGCCAAAACTCCCCAGACAGTATAGTGTCATAACTATTTACGTAGTGTTGGGAAATCCACTCTGGTGTCACTCCTCCAATAACCAGGGATCCAATACTTATCACATAGAGCTAAGTTGTCGTGGATGTTGTTAGTAATCTAGAGAGACTGTGAGAAAGCCCAGTGGTAGAATGCTTGCTAAATGTGTGGTCCAAAATTCAGTTACCAACCAAGAAATAAAAATCCTGTCTTGAACCCCCACCCAAATGTAAATAATTTACAAACAATTGATTATTTTCTGCATGCCATTGATGAGTCTGGGATCT